GGATGGGGGCAGCTCGCGCTCAACTTCATCAACGTGGCGAGCCTTGCACGTGAGAGGCACAGTGGAGGTGGAGTTCAAAGAAGAATGAGAAATTTAATGGTTTCAATCTGCCCTTGTTTTTTCTTTTTGTTTTTATTTTTGCATGTTATCACTGTGCCCGTTTTTTGCTTTTATTCTTTGTTCCGCAAAGTGCGCTCTTTTAGTTTGTAGTGATGTGACAATATATATATTGTCATATATTTTTTGTAGTGCGATGGCCTTGAGGACTTCGGGGCTGTCCTTAAACGCCTCCTGATCAGCCAATCGGTCGGTGTAAGGCTCGCTGCACGTGAGGGTAAACATTGTGCAGGGCTGGCCAGCGCAGCATAGACTCGGGGCACAGGGGCGGACCATGTGCACACCTCTGTTCTGGATTGCTCAGGGACGCTGACGTCAAGAGACCATCAAGAAGAACTGAGGAAGGGGTAGATTCCAGGTGATAAGTTCGTGTTTAATTCCACTCTGCAAATATCCACACAGACGATTCTATTTTTATTCGTCATTGACATCTGACAGACAACATTAGGTAGATCTGCTCATTGTTCGTGGACTAATCAAGTAAAAATAGTTTCGTTTGTAGGAATCTGGACTCACCTGTTGGACCCGAATGTATAGACTCTGAAATAGCCACTGGTTAATTAATTAATTTATTTATTTTAAATCGGTCTGTGCATGACGCTGCGGTAGGCATCGAGTGTGACCTAGTACAGTCTGTGTGCAGTTTTGTAGCTTATGAGCGACAGGGAGGACATTAGAGAGGACGATAGGATCCTGCGATCAACAAGGCGCCCGATAGCCCATTTGGCATTAGGACCAGAGGGCGACAGGTACCTGTTCCACCAGCAGAGGGAGAGACAGCAGCAGCAGCGGAGGGCTAGGGCCGCAGAGGCAAGCAGGGCATTTGCAAGCGAGGCCCCGCTACTTCAGCAACCATGGCAACAGCTGCCCAGCAGAACTCTCAGGCAAGTAGTTCAGGGACTATAGGGTCAACAATCGCATAGACCTTGAGTCAGTCCGCTGGCGTCATGGCAAGCCAGCTGTTAGTATTGACCCCCGAAGAGGTCGCCATACAACAAGCATATGCTAAGGAGGCACAACTACAAAAGGCTTTAGGGGATATGAAGGCAGAAAAAGAGAGAATGATTAGGAGAAGAGCAAGGATGCAGCGGAGACAAGCGTTGGTGAGTTAGAAGAGATGGACATGACAAACGTGGATGATGATCTGAGGACCTTGAGGACGGTCTTGCTAGATGTAGTAGAAGTGCAGGATCACCAAATGGCGCTCTTACGGACATCCAACAGAGCCTAGCCGTGCTGGTCGGGCGAGCTCAGGCGACACCATCACCATCAGGGCCTGGTGCCTGGCCCGTGGTACAACCTCCTCCTTTCGTCCCACCGGTGATTGGGGTATCCCCATTTGTAAGTCCTCCAACATCGGTACAGGCCGCTTCCCTAGGAATGCCTTTGAGAGGAGGGTTCTCAACAGGTCCTAGTGTACAAATTCCTGTACAGACGGCGTATTCCCAATCTCCGTCGCAGGTTGCCGTAACTCGGCAGCCTACTGTCTCGCAGCCTGCACAACAGCAGTTAGTGCAGCAGCCTGCGCCCCAGGGTCCACAACCCGGAGTGGGACAGGCACCGGGACAAGGCCAGTGGGTTCCAAAGACGGCCCTCGCCTCACCCAAACCCTTTTCAGGGGACAAGAGGGGCGAAGACCTTGACACATGGTTGAGGTCAGTGCCTGTCTACGTTAAGTGCAAGTTGACCTTGCCACACGAGGAAGTGTTTGTGGCTGCGTCCTATCTTGAGGGAAGAGCAACACGATGGTTAAGCGGGCTAGTGCAACTCCAAGGATATGGACACGACTTCCGCGCTTGGGCAGTCAACCAAAAACTGGAGGACTTCCTCAAGATGGTGGAGGATAGATGACACGATCCTCAGGAGGCCCAAAAGGCCACTGATGCGATCCTGACTTTGAGCAACAGACCGTTCAAGTCAGTAAGGGATGCCACAAATGTTGTAGAGCGTCTGATCTGTGTTCTTGGAGTACGCTATGACCCCCAAGTCTTGCTGACAACTTACCTGAGGTATCTTCCCATGCCTCTCAGGAATCAGTTGGCAGGAGAGGCTAACATCAACATGCACAACTTTCCTTCGTTTAGCAAGAAAGCCCTAGACCTGGATGCAAAGATAGGGCACGGGCACCAACCCACTACGGATGGAAGGAAGAAAACACTGCCTCCCAACTGGAAGGCGAAGGGTCGCATTATGTTCGTTGACAACGATGGTTCTACCATCGAGTTGGACGGCAACTTCCATGAGGGAGTAGGTGCAAAGGCGGGCAGAGTGGAGGCTTCAAGGGGTGGAGTAGTCGCTGGCTTCCGGTGTAGGAGTCAAGTTGACCCCAATGCTCCTCCATGGGAGAAAGCGGGACTCACCGAGGACGTGTGGAGAGATCGGTACACTCGGCAGGCGTGTATCCGTTGTGGCCAATATGGCCATAATCAGTTCAAGTGTCGAAATAAGAAGGTGACCGAAAAGATCCCGCCTCACTGGTGGGGTGGAGGTTGTCACCGATGGGATGTCCGACACACTAGTCGTCGATGCCAGAACGGGTTCATAGTGATCCTGGGGACGGTGTTCATAAGGAGTAGGGACCCGGAGTGGCGGATGCGGAGATGGCGGGTCGGGGGGCCGCTGATCTGGGTGCCTGACATGTGAACTGTCCGGCATTTGGACAGTCTGTCTATAGATGTCCTAACTGTCGGCACTGGAAACAACCACCCTTTGCTTGGAGGTAGGTTCGCTCCTCCGGCGTGATTTTCCTGAGACGGGTTGGGTGGGTGTTCATGGGAGGATGGCTAGAGCGTTCTCTCTTTTCCATTCGCATGAGGTGAATGGCGGAGAGTTCGTCAGAGGAGAGTGATGTGGTGTCTAGTGGGTCGAAGAGGATGTCGGGGTCGGGGGCAGAGAACTCGTCCGAGGAGGCAGAGAGAGAGAGGTTTCGTCGGCGATGTTATGAAAGAATCGTGGGCGGGGTGGGGCGGATGTGAGTGCGTCCTTGTACGAGGTGAGGAATTTGTCTAGGTGAATGGCGCGGTTGAGGAGATCGGAGAGGGACGTTGGGAGGTCGTGGACGAGGGAGGCGGCTAGGTCCTTGCGGCATCCCCGTTTGAAGTGAGAGATGAATGCGGCATCGCTGATGTAGTCAAGGGGGATGTGTTGCCGCAACGCACTGACGTATTGGACAAAGCGGTCGATCGGGCCGTTCCGTCGAAGACGGCAGAGTTGTTCAAAGTAGTCATCGACCGTCTTTCTGGTCGGAATGTGCAGGTGATGAGATTGGCCCACTGAAGGAAGGAATGGGGTTCCTCGTTTGCGTGTTGGCGGTTAGCTCGTTCGGTGTACCACCAACGAGCGACGCCTTCCTGTAGCTTGGTGCTGGCAATAGGGAGCCAGTCTGTGACAGGGACGTTGTGGAGGGAGAAGGCATCGTATAGTTTGCTGCGAAAGACGAAGATGTCCTCGTGGGGAAGGCCGGTGAAGGGGGGGATATCCGTTGACGGGAAGGATGGGGGAATGTTACCCGTTAAGGGTGTTGTGGTGGCGAGGGTGTTGAAATCAAGTTTGGGTGAGGAGGACGGTACCCGGGTGAAGTCGGTAGTGGGATTGGTCGGGAGGAGTGTGGACAGAGGAGGTATTGGGATAACAGGGAGCAGGGCTTGAGGTGTGGGGGTGATCTGGGTATGAGTGGAAGTGATAGTGGATGAAGTC